AAATACAAACATAGATTTTCATTGTCTAATCATAACACCAACCCTGTTGCTAATTCATTTGGAGATTATGTTAGGCCCATTTGGTTGGATGCAACATCAATAACATTAAAAACTATCAAGTCAAGCATACAAAATATCTGAGATAATGAAGAAAAAAAATCTAGCATTGAAGTTTTGAACAAAGCAAGATGAAGTTTGAACAAAATGAGTTTAGGTAGAGTTGTAAATTCAAAATATATAGCGCTTCACACTCTGCTCAAATTCTGATACCATTCAAGGTGCTATATGAAACATATTTAAAGATGTAAATAATCAAAGTGCATTTAGTTTTCTCATGCATAAAATTAAAAATAAATACAAATCAAAATTTATTTTTTAACATATAGTTATATACTTTATTTAATAATTGAAAATAAAATATATCATTAACCAATACCAATATTAAGAGAAATATTTTTTTTTAAATTAAATTTATTAATAGTCCCTAGCCCACATCCATACGAAGTCAATATTAAAATATGATAAAAATGAGTCTATAAACATAATTATTGAGCTTTTTTATTTTCGGATCATTAAATCTATATGCACTGTATAATAAAAAAAGATAACATCAAGACTTATAATTTAGAGTGCCTTGTTTTTGAACTATAATATACATTTCACATAGTTTAATAAAGACATCTTTAAAATTAATATAAAAAACAAAATACAGAGTAAGGCATGGTTGAATAAAGATATGAAAACATTCATATAAGTATTGATGTAGATAAATATATGCAAAATATGAGACGAAAGAATCATGTGTCATGTGTACTCTTAACGCGATGAACGTAGGGGTGTGCAAAAAAATTGGTTTACACGAACTAATTTTAAAAATTTAGTATATTAATTTTTATAATCTAATTTGTGTTGGATATGAACCGCTACAGATCCATTTTGATATCAAAATAAAAATCTGGTTTCCATTTTTGATAATCAGTTGTCATACATAAAACCAAATGTATATGATATTATTATTAATGAATAAAATATTATTAAGGCACTGGAAATTCAAATTCGTGTAAACCAATTTATATAATATTCAAATTGAAAATGAAAAACTAGTTTATATATTTTATTTTATTTATTATTAATTAGTTAATTAGAGTGGTGATTAATTAAGGGAAGAATAACTTGTTAAGTTAATTGTGATGAACGATTGTTAATCTGTGTTTTTTTATTTAACTGTTATAGTGTAGCAATTGTTTTGAAACATATTTTGTCTTGATTTTATGATGTTTTGTTTTAGTTTTTTTGGGTTCTAGTTTTAGTGTTCTAGTGCAACTTTATCATAGATTAAAGTGTAATGTTTTTAATCTTAAATTGAATTTTACTTTTTTGTTTTTCAAAAAAATTATGAAAAACGATTTGTGCTTGTGTTTGAATATAATAGTATACAAATGACACATGTCTTTGCATCTTGTTCTCTTCATTAACCTGAATTTTTTTCGTCTCTTCAAATTAATAAAGATACAATTTCCTTATAAATCAATTTTGATTGAAAATTGCTTTAAACCGATTTTGAACCGAATTGAAATTATTTTGCAATTTTAAATTGGTTATTATAAAAAATGGTTTAGTTTTAAAACTACAACCATTAAAATGGATTGATTCTTAAAATTTGGTAACCATGCACACCCTTAGATGAATGAGAGTCAAATTTAAGAAAAAAATATATTTTTTTATGCAGAATATTGATGATTGGATAACGTTGTTGTATGATTTATTTTAGGTTATATGTTATTTTAAATTTTTATTAAAATCAATTTTAATGTATTGATGGTGTAAAGTCTTTTGGGTAGAGAAGAGTGACAATGAGTGATGCAACTAAATGAAATATACATGACTTTGATATTTTTTGGATAGGTTTAATGATTAGATTTAGATGATAAAGACGATGAATAGATTTAATTTTTTAAATTATTTAAAAAAATATTAAATATGATTTAACTTGACTCAACGAAATAAAGAACATGTTATTTTTAGTATTTTTGAAAAATGATTTTTATATTGTTATATATTTTTGTTGAAAAGGAATTTACAAATAATTTTTAGAAAAAATTCAAATGAAAAATTGGTTTAAGCAGTTTTTCATAAAATTTATTTTAGATATTTCATTCTTTTATTATATATATTTTTATGGATATCAAAATTTCAAAAAATCAATTAAATTTGAAGCTATATTAATTTTTTTTCATAAAAAACATTTTTTAATATATCTTTTTGAAAAATTATGTGATTTTGATTATGTTTTAATCTTCAATAACATATATCTATGTTATTGAATGTCAAAATTAATATTTTAATTTATAAAAAATGAGTTAAAGTCTTCTTTATTATTTTCAAAAAGTTTTCATATAAAATATTTTTAATTTTTTTAAAACTAAAATAAACAGGCCCAAAATAGAAAAAGAAAATTACTAATAAAATAATAATTTAGTAGAACTAAAATGGTAAAACCCTATATTTATAGCAGATGAAATATATTTTTATTTTTACTTATTTTTTAAAGATGTGAAAAAAAATATTAATAATAATAATACTAATAATAATAATATTCAATATATTTTTTATATCTTAATAAAAAACTGTTAACATAATTTTAAAGATATTATATAATGTTAACAAAATTGAATAATCATAGTAAACTATAATCTTAAAAAAAAATCACTAAAACTGTCGCCAAAATCTATAATAGATAATAAATTAAATAAATAAAAAATAAATAAATTCCTACAATTTGTATTTCTTCTTATCCGTTCCTATAATTTCTTGTTAAAGGTATCTCTTCATTCTCCACCAACACATTAATTACCAACAAGTGTGAAGTGTGAAGTGTGAACAACCTCATGTAACATTCATATCTATCCCTCTCTATGATTTTTTATTTTCTCTCATGTAAATATTTAGTTTATTAATCCATCATGCTTAGTAAAAGTGTAAGACAAGGTAGTTTAATTTTCAATAACTAAATAATTGAAACTTTAAACTCTCCATCCAAAGAGCTACATGTAGCTAAACATATATTAGTTATATGAAAGTGATTTATTTTATCTCTTACTTTCTTGTTAGAATTATAACCTTCGCCTTTGCCTAATGATGTCAAATTCTTCGAATTTGTAAGTTTTGCTTACAAACTGCACTAATTATATAGGATTCATGTTTGATATGCCACTATAATTTTATGCAATTTTTTCAAGTTTATAAGTCATCGATCTTGGGCAAGTGATATTATTTTTTCATATGCGGTTTTTTTAAGTTTGTAAGTTGTTGCTCTCTGTTGGGTAATATCAATTTCTTCAAATTTAAAGGTTTTGTTTTTACAAATTACGGTAACTATATATAATTTCTATGATATCTTCATGTTTAATATGTCGTTGATATTTCTTACCATTCTTCAAATTTGTAGGATTATAAAAAATATTGATCCTACTTTACTACGTTATTAAGAATGAAGTCAGACTAAATATCAATCTTACCTTACTTTACGACCGTCACATTACATTTTCAGGTTAGTAAATTGAAATTATAAATTCTTATACTTTTAGTTATTATAACATGTGTATTGTACGAGTTTATTTGAATAGTTAGTAATAAACATGTTGAATTTGAAAAAAAAACATGATGAAATAATATTACTAATTTAATTGTATTTTTATTATATTAAATTTAACTTTTAAAGGAATAATAATATTAATATTTTAATATTTATAAAGTTTTATTTTAATATTTATTAAAATATATTTTAATATATTTAATGATGTAAGTAATATTGAGATGACAAATTTTGATAATATAGTCCATTCTTTCCATCCATTTTTTTATTTATACAATATATTCAACATATATCAATATTTTTTTTCAATGATATTCTATTTTTATAGATTAGATATTGATATTGTCAGGTTTAAAATAATAAAAAGTTTCTTAAAAAATTCATTAAAAAATAAATATAAAAATATATTATTCTCACTTTCTCATAATATTTTAATTTAAAGCATTTATAAATATTACTCTAACAATCTTAAATTTCAAACTTTTGTACTACTATTATTTAGTTATTTTATATACCTATTTATTGTTATTATTTTTATATATTAATATATTAATCGGAGGTTTGATCTCTCTTAGGGAAAAAAAGGAAATAAACATCCAATTTATTATTATTATTATTATAATATTATTATTATATCTTTAATTTATTTTTCATTCTTATTATTATTAATTTTAATATTTTGTATTTTTAGGTATAAAGTTTTACACATCACAAAATTTGCTAATTTATTAAATAAAAAATTAATTTATATTAATATGATTAATGAATATATAATTAAGAGTGATGTGTTTTAGGGGTATTCGTGGTGCGGTTTGGACGGTTGACTCTAAAAATCATCTGAACCGCATGGAAAAAAAAGTACGGTTCAATTTAATTCAATTAACTTTTAAAAATAAAATCGAATTAAATCAATGTGATTTGTGTTAGTTTAATTTTTTATAAAATTTTTATTGAGTAATAAATATATTAATATAGTACCGTTTTATTTACAAAATATAAACCGCAAACTAAATTAAATCGAGTGATTTAGTTAAATTATGACCAAAACAAATTGGTATTAAATTTGATTTTTATAATTTTCAATTTGATTTAACTTGATTAAGGATTCTCTCTTGAGTCAGTTTTATTTCTAAACACCCAGTGAAATCTTAAAATGGGAAAGAACAAACGCGCTAAACATATTTCAAAAATGTTTTTACTCCAAAATATTAGGCGCCAAACGTTACCGCTATTTCAACTGCTTCAAAATTTTCTTTTACGCCAAATGGATGAAAATTCTTTTATACTAAATTTTTTTGGCTTAAAATCTGGAAAAGCTATATAGTAGTTTTACTTTCATTTCATAAACGAATTTCAATCTCTTAAGCATTTTGGTTGTCAGAAAAACCATCAGTTGTAATCTATAATGGAGCGCAAGCAAAATTTGAAGAGGAAATTTGATTTCACTGAAGAAGGTGTTGTTCGTGAAAACTCTCGCCGTCTAACTCTTGCCAACGATATTGCTCGACGCATTGATTTGTTAAACTCGGTTTCTTCGTCGTTGTCCGATCCGGATATTGGTGCTGCTCAAAATGATCTCTGTTTTCTTTCCGGATACGCCAAAGACGGTATGTTAGTTTGCCATTCCATTTCTTCATTTTGTTTTAATTTCTCTGTTTTGATTTCTTGTGTTCAATTTCTCTTTTGCAGAGGATATTGTGGATCTTATGGTAGTTTCTGGTGTTGTTCCCGCTCTGGTGAAGGTTTTGCATATGCTGTCTAATGTAGGTGATTTTGACGCTGATACTTATGACGTGGAAAAAGACTGTGTCTCTATCCTCGGTCATCTCGCTGTCAAGGTAATTAACCTGTATTTTTTGAACTGTCTAGCACTGTAACCATTGTTTAATAGATATTTTACTTATGCTGATCTTCATGTTCAAACAGCCGGATCATCAACAACTCATTGTTGATGCTGGAGCCTTGCCTTGTCTTGTAGAATTGTTGATGAGACCGAAAGCCCCTGGTGTTTCTCAAGCACTTTTTTCTAGTCTTCTTGGGAGAGCAGCTGATGCAATAACTAATCTTGCTCATGAAAATATCAACATCAAGACCCTTGTCAGGTTTGTTTCTTCCGAATTCCTATAATTTAGAATGTTGTTAAGTAGTCTGCTTTAGCATTATACAGCTATAGCATATCAAAATTTGGATGCCACCATTGTTTTGTTTTCAGAGCGTCTTAGTTTTCGGAGGGTTTATTTAACCATGTTTTAATTATGAAAAATATTATGAGACCCTATCTAGGTACAATTTAAGTGTGACAAATTTTGGGGCCTTTGTGGTATTGTGATACACTATTTAATGTAAAATATTGTCCGTTAGCTGCTATAGCGGAATGTTACCTATCTGTTATTTGCAATTGACAGCACTGCCTTAGATATTTATAGTCCATGCTCTCTAATAGATGCTATTTTCAGGTTGGAAGGTGGCATCCCTCCTCTCGTTGATTTGCTTGAATTCAATGATACAAAGGTACAGAGAGCCGCTGCAGGGGCCCTGAGAACTCTTGCATTTCAAAATGCTGAGAATAAAGACCAGGTAGTTGATTTGGCACTATGACTTACAATGATGGATTCTTTTGTTATAATGGCTCACAAAAATTAAAAAATGCAGATTGTTGAATGCGATGCGTTGCCCACTCTTGTACTAATGCTTGGATCAGAGGATCCTGCAATACATTATGAGGCGGTAAGACACAAATGAATTGACATAATCTTTTACATTATAATTTGTTTTTTGCAGTTTTCTAAGCTACATGAACAAGCTGAATGAAAATTAAATTTTGTAGGTTGGTGTGATTGGAAATCTTGTCCATTCTTCGCCTGAAATTAAGAGAGAAGTTCTTCTAGCAGAGGCTTTACAACCAGTTATTTGCCTACTAAGGTGACACATATTGTCTTTTATTTTCATTAAGCTAAGGAGAATGTGATGTAAATGTCAAACATTGTAGTGTTCTGTGCTAGTAACTTATTACTTCTATTTTAACTAATCTGTGTTTTCATTAATAGTTCCCCCTGTTTGGAGACCCAAAGAGAAGCAGCTCTTTTAATTGGTCAATTTGCCACAACAGATTCAGATTGCAAGGTTGGTTAAGTTGTGTTTTGCTAACCTACAATGCGATAGCTTAGTCACATGTTAAATTCTTTTACTAATCCTCATAATTGGTTCACGCAGATTCACATTGCCCAAAGAGGTGCTATAATCCCTTTAATCAAAATGCTTAAGTCTCCAGATTTACAACTTAGGGAAATGTCAACTTTTGCACTTGGGAGGTTGGCACAGGTGATTGTTACTGGCAACTGATATTTAGCAGTATATGGGAGTTAGGTTCTTGAGATCAACTCTAACTGTTTATATAATCCATGTTAGGACTCACACAATCAAGCTGGCATTGCTTACAATGGAGGTATAGAGCCTCTCCTCAATCTTCTTGTCACAAATAATCCTTCTGTCCAACACAATGCAGCTTTTGCTCTTTATGCTCTTGCTGATAATGAGGTGAAGTCAATTTCCTTGTTCTTTACTTGGTCTGCATTGCACGTGGCCCTTTATTAATCATCAATGTTTGTGATATGTTGCCTCTGACATAACTGCTTTGTTTGACAGGACAATGTTCCTCTTATTATTAAAGCTGATGGCTTACAAAAACTACAGGATGGACATTTCAGTGTTCTAGTACGTTCATTTACTCTTTGCAAATAATAATGTAGTCTTGTTTATCAAGATAACTGTTAGAACCTCTTACTAGTTTATTACAAATTTAGTTTCTTATGGTTTTTGTTTGACCTGCAGCCTACTCAAGAGTGTGTAGCAAGGATGTTAAAAAGATTGGAAGAGAAGATGCAAGGGAGAGTAAGTTTTCTCCCAAGTTGTCTGTTACTATGACCAATGATATATTTGTATAGTCATAAGATGATAATCACAGTCAATTCAAACATTCATTTTACATTATTGATTTTGATTGTTTTATTAATTCCTCTTTTGCAGGTACTGAAGCAAATGTTATATCTTATGCGCTCTGGGGAAAAGGGTGTTCAAAAACGTGTAGCTCTTGCTCTTGCACATTTATGTTCCTCCAATGATCGTAAAACTATTTTCATTGACAATAATGGTAACAAACTTTAATATGTACTTTTGTCCCCTTTCCCTGGCAGTACTTAGAAAGTATTTTCAATCAATATGCTGCTAAATCTTCAGGATTAGAATTGCTGTTGGATCTTCTTCTTGAATCTACAACCAAAAAGCAGAAGCGTGAAGCCTCTGCAGCACTTCACACAATGGCTACTAAAGGAATAGGTGCCTCTATTGTTAATCTTGCGCCTACATCACCAACTGCTCAGGTATTTTGCATTTTATGTCTCATCGGGCTCATTGCATTTATTTTGTTTTTTCTCTCTGCACTTGAAGCATATGTTCTGTATTATCATAGTTGCATAATTCAACTGCAGTTTGAACTTATTGCCTTTGAAATTGAGTTATTTTGTTCATACTCTACTGTATATATTATGGCGATGATCATGAGAATGGAAAATGAGTTTTGTCTGTGTTGTATGTAGGTTTACTTGGGTGAGCAATATGTAAACAACCCACTACTTTCTGATGTCACATTCATAGTTGAAGGTGAAAAAGCTGCTTCCGTTTTTTGTTGTTGTTTTCTATTAATTTTCCCCATGTATGCATATTGATTATGATATATGCACTAATTTACTCCATTCTCCTTCCTTCAGGCAAACTCTTTTATGCTCATAGAGTTTGTTTAGTTTCATCCATTATATTTCGCGCAATGTTTGATGGGGGTTACAGGGTAAGTATAAACTAATCATTCAACTTATTTTCAAGTCTTCTTTTAATTCAATACCTGTAAGTAGCAACTATTATTCTTTTGCAAATGTTCAAATAGAAACTTGATCAGCATGGTTGTTCATTGCTTGGTATCTTTAATAGGTTAAGGGTACTAGTTATCTAGCTCCACAAGCATTTTGAAAATTTTGAAAGCCACATAATCATTTTGCAATTGAGTTAGGATTAATGGATTAATGACTAATGTATTAGTAATGTGCAATGCAGGAAAAGGAAGCCAAGGATATAGAGATTCCAAATATTAAATGGAATGTCTTTGAGTTGATGATGAGGTATGTTGGTACTGCCCCTTTTCTTATATATTGATGTTTTTATAATAGGCTCTATTTATGAACTAATTTTCTGTTGGAACTTCAGATTTATATACACCGGAACCGTAGATGTTGATTTGGATGTTGCCCCAGACCTCCTTAAAGCTGCAGATCAATATCTTCTTGACGGTCTTAAGCGTATTTGTGAATCTGTTATTTCTGAGGTAGGCCTTGAGTTTCACAGTTGCTTTTATTTCATTTATTTTTGTTGAATTTTTAATAGTTTAATTTAATGTTAAATTTTTCTTGTAGGATATTTCTGTGGAAAATGTTTCACTAATGTATGTGATGTCAGATACTTATAATGCTACATCATTAAAATATTCATGCATACTCTTTATCTTGGAGCAATTTGATAACTTGAGCTCCAAACCGTGGTATGTTATCTTACATTCTTTATAACTTGAAATGTAATTCTCTTTTAGTACATTGCACTGATCATATTTTTTTTCTCAATCTTAAAATGCAGGTATTGTCCCTTTATCCGTTGCATTAAGCCAGACATTTGGAACTTCTTCTGGACTTTACTTACCACGCCTAAACATGATGACTAGTGTGGATTCTCAGAATTTTAATCTTTTCGAGAAGGATGAAAATGTACAAAACTGTTGTTTATAAGAAATTTATTTGCATGCCATTCTTTGGTAAAACCTTAGAGCATGTTTGCTTCTGCAGGGGTAACAAACTCTTAAAAGTGTAGCTTCTGTCGAATTGCACAGAAGCACCTATTTTTTTAAACACATTTCACAGAAGAATCATATATTTTTTTAATATTTATCAAGATAATTTGGCTATTTTTTAGGTTGGAGAATGCTGATTTTGGTCTGAAATTGTTGTTGGTTAAGCAATAAGTTGTATTAATTGATGTCAAAGTGCACTTGTTATTACTTGGCAATAGTGTTTGTTGTTCCTTTTGTCTTTTATCTTTCTTGTGCACCAACAATTGATATTTAGAGTTCTGGTTTGAAGTTCATGGGAAAAAGAAGTATTGTGATTAAGAATTACAATATTTTGATTATGGGATTTTGAGAAACATTGATTTGAGAAATTCTGTGTAAATTGTTCAAAGATAGAAGATGAACGGGAACGACTGCGATATTCATTCCAAGCTTCCAGTATTTAATGACAAAAATTGAAATTGTTGGAAAATTTAGATATACGTGTTATTTGGTTCTCAAGATGTGTTAGATCTTGTCACCAATGACTATGATCTGTTAGAAGTAGAAGCAACAGAGGCACAAAAGATAACACATAGGACGCTAAGAAAGAAAGATCAGAAGGTGTTGTTCTACATCCATCAATGTGTGGATGCAAATGTGTTTGAGAAGATTGCTGATTCTGAAATAGCAAAGGTTGCTGGGACACACTGGTCAGATGTTACGGTGGTGATGCATCAGTGAAGAAGGTGAAACTTCAGTATGAGAATCTCAACATGAAGGACAACAAGAAGGTTTCTGAATATATCTCTGGAGTGATTCTGATCACTAATGAGATGAAAGTTTGTGGAGAAACTCTGTCTGAACAAGTGATTATTGAGAAGATCTTGAGATCTTTAACTTCTAAGTTTGATAACATTGTGGTAGCAATTGAACATTTCAAAGATCTGAGCACCATGAGAGTTGAAGAGCTGCAAAGTAGTCTAGAGGCGCATGAGTTGCGAATGACTGCAAGAACTTCTGAGAGGAAAGTAGAGCAGCACGCGCTGAAGGTAACTTCTGGTAAGAAGCATCAGAAGCAGACTTGGTCAGAAGCCAAGAAGAAAACTAATGGTGGTCAAAAGTCAGAAGTTTCAAACTCTGATAGGTAGAAGAATATCCAGAAGGGAAAGGAGAAGTTTGACAAGAAGAATGTTCAATGTTACTGTTGCAAGAACTTTGGTCACTATGTCAGAGATTGCTGGTCCAACAAAGAAAAGAAGTCAGAAGAAGCAAATATAGCAAGAGGAGAGTTTGATGATGAACCTGTGCTATTGTTGGCTTCTGAACCTGATGATCTGAATTCATCAAAATGGTATATGGAAACAGGGTGTTCAAACCATCTTACTGGAAACAAGAAGTGGTTGGTTGATTTTGATTCTGGGAAGAGTACAAAGATCAGATGTGCTGATGATAAATACCTTAATGCAGAAGGTATGGGAAATGTCAGAATCATTCTAAACAATGTGAAAGAAGCAGTGATCCATAATGTATGGTATGTACCTGACATGAAAAGCAATCTGATGAGTGTGGGACAACTGGTTGAGAAAGATTTTTCAGTTACCATGAAGGACAATCTTCTAAAGTTGTATGACTGTAATCAGAAGCTGATTATGGAGTCAAAACAGGGAAGGAACAGAACATTCAAGGTGAATGTTAGAACTGCAGACTCTGAATGTCTTAGTGCAACAAGTGTTGTCAAGGAGAGTGAGTTGTGGCACAAAAGATTTGATCATCTGAATTCAGAAGTTTAGGACATCTGAAATCAAAGAATCTGGTACATGGAATTCCTACAATCAAGAAGCCTTAAAAGTTATGCAAGGTATGCATGGAAGGGAAGCAACCAAGATTACCATTTGCATCAGAAGTAGTTCCAAGAGCAAAACATGTCTTGGGAGTAGTGCATTATGATGTGAGCAGTCCTTTTCCAGTAGCATCAACTGAAGGAAATAAATATTTTGTGTCATTTGTTGATGAGTTCACCAGAATGACACGGGTATCTCTCATAAAGTTCAAACACGAGGTGTTTGCTGAATTTAAGAAGTTCATACTGAAGGCTGAGAATCAGAGTGGTCAGACTCTTAAGATTCTTAGAACTGATGATGGTGGTGAGTATAACTTCACAGAATTCAGAAGTTTCTGTGAGGATAATGGAATTGAGCATGAGGTTACTGCTCCCTATACTCCTCATCACAATGGTCTTGCTGAAAGAAGAAATCATACTTTGCTTGATATGGTTAGAAGCATGCTGAAAGAGAAGAAATTTCCTCATACTTTGTGGGGAGAAGCTGTTGCAATTGCATGTTATGTGCTCAACAGATGTCCAACAAAGAAATTGAAGGAAATAATTCCTATTCAGAAGTGGACTGGAGATAAGAAAAGTGTTAGTCATATGAAGGTGTTTGGTTCTGTATGTTATAAATATGTCCCAGAAGCCAGAAGACATAAGTTGGATGATAGAAGTAAAGTGATGTTGCTGGTGGGGTACCACAGTACAGGTTCCTACAAACTTTATTGTCCAGAAACTAACAAAGTTGAGTTCAGCAGAGACGTCATTATAGAGGAATTATAAGTTTGGAATTGGGAAAAGTCTCGTCCTGAATCTGATGAGAGAACTTTTGAAGAAAAGTCAGAAATAAATGTTTCTGAAGCTGGTAAAGACTCTGATTCTGAAGAAGATACAAAAGGAGAAGATGATTCTGACTCTGACTCCGATGGTGATCCAGACTCTGAAGATAGTCAAGGTTATGGAGAAAGTCCAATTTCTGAAGCAAGTGCTTCTGAAGGGGAAAGCTTTGGTGTCTAAGGTTCTGAAGGTCCAGTTCAGAGACAACAAAGAGTCAGAAGCATCCCAAGAAGATTTGCAGAGTTGACATGTTACGAGACACTGAAGTAGACTCTAAAGGAGAAGTTATTCAGTGTACAATGTTAGTAGGCTCTGAATCCTTGAGTACGAAAGAGGCTCTTACGCAACAAGTCTGGTTGCAGGACATGAAAGAAGAACTTGATGCTATAGAGAGAAACAAGATTTGGAAGCTGACTGAACTTCCAAAAGGCAAGAAAGCCATCAACGTTAGATGGGTTTTCAAGCAGAAGCTAAATCCAGATGGATCAATTGGCAAACATAAAGTGATATTAGTAGCAAAAGTCTTTCTATAGAAGTCTGGGCTGGATTACTTTGAAGTGTTTGCACCTGTAGCGAGACATGAAACAATCAGACTAGTGATTGCAATAACTGCTAACAAGAATTGGCCTCTGATGCATTTAGATGTAAAATCTGCATTTCTGAATGGTTCATTACAAGAAGAGGTGTACGTTTCACAACCTCCTGGATTTGAGAAAAAGAATCAGGAAGGGATGGTGTTCAAATTACACAAAGCATTGTATGGATTGAAGCAAGCGCCCATAGCTTAGAATTTGAAGATTGATTCGTTTTTCAAGGAACAAGGGTTTCAGAAGTGTGAGATGGAGTATGATGTTTATGTTCAACATACTTCAGAAGGTAATATGATTCTGGTTTGTTTGTACGTTGATGATATATTACTCATAGGAAGTTCTGAACAAGAGATAGCTGAGTTCAAGAAAGTTCTGATGAATGCATTTGAGATGACAGATCTTGGAAAAATGAGTTTCTTTTTAGGGATGAGATTTATGTACTCTAAGAAAGGAATCATTTTGCATCAGATGAAGTATGAACTAGAGCTTCTGAAGAGATTTGAGCTAGAAAATTGCAAAGTTGCTATCACACCTAGTGATACAAATTAGAAGTTGGACTCTGATTTTGATGGAGAGGATGTAAATGCTACAACCTTTAAACAAATGGTTGATTCTCTAAGGTATTTGTGTAATACCAGACCTGATATTTGCTATACAGTTGGAATTATTAGCAGATTTATGAGCAAACGAAAGTGGTCTCATTACCAAGCTGCAGTCAGGATTTTGAGGTATGTGAAGGGAACTCTGAAATATGGAGTGTTATTTCCGTCTGTAAGAAAGATCGAATCAGAACTTATGAGTTATTCTGATTCTGATTGGTGCGGAGATAGAGTTGACAGAAGGAGTACTTCTGGGTACTTATCCAAATTTCTAGGAGGTCCTATTTCTTGGTGTTCCAAGAAACAACCCGTTGTTGCAGTATCAACTTGTGAAACTAAATATATTGCAGGCGCTCTGACTGCATGTCAAGCTGTGTGGATTCTGAACTTGCTGAAAGATCTGAAGATTGAGGTAAATAAATCTCTGAAACTGATGATTGATAACAAATCTGCAATCAATCTTTGCCAAGAATCCAGTGTTGCATGGGAGAAACAAACATATTGAGACCAAGTATCATTTTATGAGGAATCAAGTTCAGAATAAAATTTTAGAAGTTGTGCACTATAGCACCCAGAAGCAGCTGACAGATGTTCTGACAAATGCTATCAAAACTGATCAATTTCTTGGTTTAAGAGATGAAATTGATGTTGTCAGTTTTGGGTAAATATAAATTAAGAGATGATGTTAGAATTAATTTAGATTTTATAATTAATTAGATATTAATTTATATTTAGAAATATCTTTTAAATCTTCATATATCTTTGTTAGAAGATATATTTTAGATTTAATTTTGTGTATAAATAGCTTAGTGGAGTAGATTATTGTAATTTACTGTAAATCTTTATTTTGAAGTTGTCAGTAAATATTCTTTTTGCCTTTTATCTTTCTTGAGCACTAACGGTCCTCACTTCCTCTAACCACTCGTCCCGTCAAAACTCTCATAAAATCACATCTTCCCATAATTCTTTTACAAAACCAAAATGCATACCATTGGGACCTGGGCTTTTTGTACAGTCACACTCCTACACTGCTTTGCGAACTTC